GGGGGAGAGGAACCAATTTGGATGGTAACAAAGTCAACCTGGCACTTTTTGGACATCGCGAGGAAAGGAGAAGAGTGAGATGCGCCTTCCGGCAGCGGAGCCCTGCGCAGCGCCACCTGCAGCTCCAGCAGCGCCGTCAGGGGCAGGGGTTGACGCTGCCGTGCGGGGCTGCGGGCGGCGCGGGGGGCTGCAGGCGAGGCGCTCCGCTGGGCCGTGCTCACGGGGCTCTGCTCGGCGCATCCCTGGCAGCGCGGGACCGGCGCCGTGTGCGGCTGCGGCGGGCACTAATGGCAGCCATCTCTTTTGTTTCCTTTCCCCGTTCTGTGCTGCGTCTGCCGCTGTGCCGCTGTACCTCTGCTCCTGTCTTTCCCTGTCTGAATGTCTCTCCTCCTCTGCCTTCTGCTCCCGCGTCCCCGCAGACCACCGCCCGGCGGCCCAAGGTGAGCACAGCGGCGGCGGTTGCGTCCCCTCCCCTTCGCTGGGTGCTCGGAGGGGCTCGCCGGGACCTCGTGCTCCTCCGGGTGCGTCTGAGTGCGGGCCGACGTGCTGGGGGAGCGGCGCCGCTGGCTGAGCCGTGCCCGGAGCGCTGCGCTGTGGGCCGGCTGGGCTCCGTGTCCTCGCTGTCGCTGCTCTCCCCGTTGTGCGGCTGTGAGCACAGGGCTGGGAGCAGTGGGAGCTGTGGGGCAGGGCTGTGGCAGCCCCTCGTGCTTCGTTCCCCAGCGTGCGGTGAATGCATTGCGAAGGATGCTGACGGGGTGGGAAACGAGCCGGGAGCTCGTTGACAGCTGGGTTATGGCTGGAGCAACACGCGGCTCCATCTCTTCTTTGGAGAGGTCCCTACAGGGGTGGCTTCACCCTCGCTGCTGCGTCTGTGTGCCTTGAGAGGCCGCAGTGCTCCGCGCAGCCCATCGCCAGGAGTGAATGGAGTCAGGAGGGGAGGCTCAGTTCAGGCTGGAAAAGACCTCTGGGCTCGCCGAGCTCTGCCCACCCCACCGCCCCCCCTGAGCGGTGCCACATCGCCGTGGCTCCAGGGATGTGGGCTCCCGGCACGGTGTGAGGCTGTCAGCTCCCATCACTGCTCCCTGGGAGCGCACAACTCGCACAACCTCCTTTCCGGGCTCTGCAGAGAGCAGTGAGGCTCCCTGGGCTTCCTCCTCCAGCCTGAGCCGCGCCGGCTCCCCCAGCCGCTGCCCGTAAGCCTTGTGCTCCAGCCCTGCGCATCTTGCAGCCCTTCGGCCAGCTCTGTGCCCTCACCAGAGCGCTTTTGTCCTGCCCAGCAGCAGCGACCCGCAGCCCCACGGCTGTCAGCTCTGCCCTGAGCACCTCAGCAGCACTGCGCCGTACCGGGCTGCCCCCAGGGCTGCTGCTCTGTGCCGCAACGGAAAGCTTTGCCCGAGCAGAGCTGCAGCAGCAGGAACAACAACTCCCTTGTCGGGGCGGTGCGTTTCGAGAGCTCGATGCCATGGAGATTTGCGTTGTGCCACAGTGTCAGCGATGGCACCGGGGAGGGGATTGCAGCGCTGTGCCTGGAGGCGCTGCCTCCCCCAGCACCGCCGAGCTGCACCGGGTGTGGGGCGGGCAGCAGAGACCCAGCGTGTGGGGCAGTGGGTGCAGTGTGTGGGGCAGGCAGGGGGCAGTGGGTGCAGTGTGTGGGGCAGGCAGAGGGCAGTGGGTGCAGTGTGTGGGGCAGGCGGGGGGCAGTGGATGCAGTGTGTGGGGCTGGCAGAGGGCAGTGGGTGCAGTGTGTGGGGCAGGCGGGGGGCAGTGGGTGCAGTGTGTGGGGCTGGCAGAGGGCAGTGGGTGCAGTGTGTGGGGCAGGCGGGGGGCAGTGGGTGCAGTGTGTGGGGCAGGCAGGGGGCAGTGGGTGCAGTGTGTGGGGCAGGCGGGGGGCAGTGGGTGCAGTGTGTGGGGCTGGCAGAGGGCAGTGGGTGCAGTGTGTGGGGCAGGCGGGGGGCAGTGGGTGCAGTGTGTGGGGCAGGCGGGGGGCAGTGGGTGCAGTGTGTGGGGCAGGCAGAGGGCAGTGGGTGCAGTGTGTGGGGCAGGCGGGGGGCAGTGGGTGCAGTGTGTGGGGCAGGCAGAGGGCAGTGGGTGCAGTGTGTGGGGCAGGCGGGGGGCAGTGGGTGCAGTGTGTGGGGCAGGCGGGGGGCAGTGGGTGCAGTGTGTGGGGCAGGCGGGGGGCAGTGGGTGCAGTGTGTGAGGCAGGCGGGGGGCAGTGGGTGCAGTGTGTGGGGCAGGCGGGGGGCAGTGGGTGCAGTGTGTGGGGCAGGCGGGGGGCAGTGGGTGCAGTGTGTGGGGCAGGCGGGGGGCAGTGGGTGCAGTGTGTGAGGCAGGCGGGGGGCAGTGGGTGCAGTGTGTGGGGCAGGCGGGGGGCAGTGGGTGCAGTGTGTGGGGCAGGCGGGGGGCAGTGGGTGCAGTGTGTGGGGCAGGCGGGGGGCAGTGGGTGCAGTGTGTGGGGCAGGCAGAGGGCAGTGGGTGCAGTGTGTGGGGCAGGCGGGGGGCAGTGGGTGCAGTGTGTGGGGCAGGCGGGGGGCAGTGGGTGCAGTGTGTGGGGCAGGCGGGGGGCAGTGGGTGCAGTGTGTGGGGCAGGCGGGGGGCAGTGGGTGCAGTGTGTGGGGCAGGCTGGGGGCAGTGGGTGCAGTGTGTGGGGCAGGCGGGGGGCAGTGGGTGCAGTGTGTGGGGCAGGCGGGGTGCAGTGGGTGCAGTGTGTGGGGCAGGCTGGGGGCAGTGGGTGCAGTGTGTGGGGCAGGCGGGGGGCAGTGGGTGCAGTGTGTGAGGCAGGCGGGGGGCAGTGGGTGCAGTGTGTGGGGCAGGCGGGGGGCAGTGGGTGCAGTGTGTGGGGCAGGCAGAGGGCAGTGGGTGCAGTGTGTGGGGCAGGCGGGGGGCAGTGGGTGCAGTGTGTGGGGCAGGCAGAGGGCAGTGGGTGCAGTGTGTGGGGCAGGCGGGGGGCAGTGGGTGCAGTGTGTGGGGCAGGCGGGGGGCAGTGGGTGCAGTGTGTGGGGCAGGCGGGGGGCAGTGGGTGCAGTGTGTGGGGCAGGCGGGGGGCAGTGGGTGCAGTGTGTGGGGCAGGCGGGGGGCAGTGGGTGCAGTGTGTGGGGCAGGCGGGGGGCAGTGGGTGCAGTGTGTGGGGCAGGCGGGGGGCAGTGGGTGCAGTGTGTGAGGCAGGCGGGGGGCAGTGGGTGCAGTGTGTGGGGCAGGCGGGGGGCAGTGGGTGCAGTGTGTGGGGCAGGCGGGGGGCAGTGGGTGCAGTGTGTGGGGCAGGCGGGGGGCAGTGGGTGCAGTGTGTGAGGCAGGCGGGGGGCAGTGGGTGCAGTGTGTGGGGCAGGCGGGGGGCAGTGGGTGCAGTGTGTGGGGCAGGCGGGGGGCAGTGGGTGCAGTGTGTGGGGCAGGCGGGGGGCAGTGGGTGCAGTGTGTGGGGCAGGCAGAGGGCAGTGGGTGCAGTGTGTGGGGCAGGCGGGGGGCAGTGGGTGCAGTGTGTGGGGCAGGCGGGGGGCAGTGGGTGCAGTGTGTGGGGCAGGCGGGGGGCAGTGGGTGCAGTGTGTGGGGCAGGCGGGGGGCAGTGGGTGCAGTGTGTGGGGCAGGCTGGGGGCAGTGGGTGCAGTGTGTGGGGCAGGCGGGGGGCAGTGGGTGCAGTGTGTGGGGCAGGCGGGGTGCAGTGGGTGCAGTGTGTGGGGCAGGCTGGGGGCAGTGGGTGCAGTGTGTGGGGCAGGCGGGGGGCAGTGGGTGCAGTGTGTGGGGCAGGCGGGGGGCAGTGGGTGCAGTGTGTGGGGCAGGCGGGGTGCAGTGGGTGCAGTGTGTGGGGCAGGCTGGGGGCAGTGGGTGCAGTGTGTGGGGCGGGCGGGGGGCAGTGGGTGCAGTGTGTGGGGCGGGCGGGGGGCAGTGGGTGCAGTGTGTGGGGCGGGCGGGGGGCAGTGGGTGCAGTGTGTGGGGCAGGCAGGGGGCAGTGGGTGCAGTGTGTGGGGCAGGCAGAGGGCAGTGGGTGCAGTGTGTGGGGCAGGCGGGGGGCAGTGGGTGCAGTGTGTGGGGCAGGCGGAGGGCAGTGGGTGCAGTGTGTGGGGCAGGCAGGGGGCAGTGGGTGCAGTGTGTGGGGCAGGCGGGGGGCAGTGGGTGCAGTGTGTGGGGCAGGCGGGGGGCACAGCAGTGCCGTGCCACGCATCCAGGTCCATGTGCCTTGAGAGGCCGCAGTGCTCCGCGCAGCCCATCTCCAGGAGTGAATGGAGGCAGGAGCTGAGGCTGCCCGGCTGTGGGGCTGTGGGTTGAGCGGGTAGGACGGGCTGTGCAGGGCAGTGCCCTCCCTGGGCCTGCAGCAGTGATGGCAGCGGAGACGAAGCGGCGCTCCTTTGCTGCCCTTCCATCCGGCTGCCCCGCTTTCCTTTGGGCTCCAGCTGCCGCTCTGCCCTTCCGTCGCTCCGTTCCCCATAAGCACTGGAGCTGCAGAGCCGGGCCGCGCGCGGGGGACGCACAGGTTGTGTGATGGCAGCAGCTGTGGCCGCGGGAGGGGAGGTGGCACAGCGCTGCTCCGCCGTCCCCATCGCTGGGGGCTGCCCTGCTGTATCACCGCACCCAGCACCGGGTTTGTGAACGCAAAGCGTTGCCTTGTGCCACCAATCCCTGGGCGTGCGGCCCCAGGTGGGCTCAGCCCGGAGCACCGCTCGCTCCTCCTTCACTCTGGGCTTCCTCCGTGCCGCTGGCAGAGCTGTGCTGGCAGCACGGTGCTGGGGGGGACCAGGGCTGGCTGACGTGTGGCCCTCGCAGTGTTTCCCCACGCTGCGCCTCGCTGATGCTCTGCCCTTTGCTTTGCAGCCCACCCGGACCCCCACCTCCGCCCCCTCCGGTGGCACCGCGGGGCCCTCGGGCTCGGCCTCGGCCTCGGGGGGGGAGATGAGCAGCAGCGAGCCCAGCACGCCCGCACAGACGCCGCTGGTGGCCCCCGTCATCCCATCCCCCTCGCTGACCTCGCCGCTGGCGCCCATGGTCCCCTCACCCACCAAGGTAAGCGGGGCTCCACGTGTGCAGGGCGCCCACCCTGCAGGGCAGAGGGGAGCTGCGTCCTCGGCGCTGCAGCCGGGGCAGAGCCTGCGCTGCTCGGCATGGGGCGGCTCCACTCCCACCTTCCTCCCCCCTGGGTGTTTCTGACGGTTGTAGCAGCCTGGTTCTTCCATTTGGGGTCTGTGAAATGGTTCTTCATTACGTCCGTCCTGCTTTCTATCAGTTGGGTAAAATGAGAGCTTGAGGAAGATGCAGGGCGCCAGAGGGAGGAACACAGAGCCCAGCCTGAGGCTGGCAGCCGGGGAAGGGCTGCAGGGAGCAGCGCTGGGGGAGGTGAGGAAACCCCATTGCCCAGTGCTGGGAGTGAGGAAACCCCATTGCCCAGTGCTGGGAGTGAGGAAACCCCATTGCTCAGTGCTGGGAGTGAGGAAACCCCATTGCTCAGTGCTGGGAGTGAGGAAACCCCATTGCTCAGTGCTGGGAGTGAGGGAACCCCATTGCCCAGTGCTGGGGAAGTGAGGAAACCCCATTGCCCAGTGCTGGGGGAGGTGAGGGAACCCCATTGCCCAGTGCTGGGAGTGAGGAAACCCCATTGCCCAGTGCTGGGGGTGAGGAAACCCCATTGCCCAGTGCTGGGAGTGAGGAAACCCCATTGCCCAGTGCTGGGAGTGAGGAAACCCCATTGCCCAGTGCTGGAAGGGAGGAAACCCCATTGCCCAGTGCTGGGGAGGTGAGGAAACCCCATTGCCCAGTGCTGGGAGTGAGGAAACCCCATTGCCCAGTGCTGGGGGAGGTGAGGAAACCCCATTGCTCAGTGCTGGGAGTGAGGAAACCCCATTGCCCAGTGCTGGAAGGGAGGAAACCCCATTGCCCAGTGCTGGGGGAAGGGAGGAAACCCCATTGCCCAGTGCTGGGAGTGAGGAAACCCCATTGCTCAGTGCTGGGAGTGAGGAAACCCCATTGCCCAGTGCTGGAAGGGAGGAAACCCCATTGCCCAGTGCTGGGGGAAGTGAGGAAACCCCATTGCCCAGTGCTGGAAGGGAGGAAACCCCATTGCCCAGTGCTGGGAGTGAGGAAACCCCATTGCTCAGTGCTGGGAGTGAGGAAACCCCATTGCTCAGTGCTGGGAGTGAGGAAACCCCATTGCCCAGTGCTGGGAGTGAGGAAACCCCATTGCTCAGTGCTGGGGGAGGTGAGGGAACCCCATTGCCCAGTGCTGGGGGAGGTGAGGGAACCCCATTGCCCAGTGCTGGGGGTGAGGAAACCCCATTGCCCAGTGCTGGGAGTGAGGAAACCCCATTGCCCAGTGCTGGGGGTGAGGAAACCCCATTGCCCAGTGCTGGGGGTGAGGAAACCCCATTGCCTAGTGCTGGGAGTGAGGAAACCCCATTGCCCAGTGCTGGAAGGGAGGAAACCCCATTGCCCAGTGCTGGGAGTGAGGAAACCCCATTGCTCAGTGCTGGGGGAGGTGAGGGAACCCCATTGCCCAGTGCTGGGGGAGGTGAGGGAACCCCATTGCCCAGTGCTGGGGGTGAGGAAACCCCATTGCCCAGTGCTGGGAGTGAGGAAACCCCATTGCCCAGTGCTGGGGGTGAGGAAACCCCATTGCCCAGTGCTGGGGGTGAGGAAACCCCATTGCCTAGTGCTGGGAGTGAGGAAACCCCATTGCCCAGTGCTGGAAGGGAGGAAACCCCATTGCCCAGTGCTGGGGAGGTGAGGAAACCCCATTGCCCAGTGCTGGGGGAAGGGAGGAAACCCCATTGCCCAGTGCTGGGAGTGAGGAAACCCCATTGCCCAGTGCTGGGGGAAGTGAGGAAACCCCATTGCCCAGTGCTGGGAGTGAGGAAACCCCATTGCCCAGTGCTGGGGGTGAGGAAACCCCATTGCCCAGTGCTGGGGGAAGTGAGGAAACCCCATTGCCCAGTGCTGGGAGTGAGGAAACCCCATTGCCCAGTGCTGGGAGTGAGGAAACCCCATTGCCCAGTGCTGCTCTGCTGCCTTATGAGAAGCCAGCAGCAGTGCCTGCTTGGTGCTGTTTGCCCAGCAGTGAGCAGCAGAGCACAAAGCTGCTCCTTCCGCCCCGTTGGCACACAGGCTGTCTTGCAGGGTCTCTTCCCTGACGTCCCCCATCTCGGTGGCTTTAAGCCCGGTCCTGGGGCTGCCATAAAGCCGTGCTGCTTTATGGGTGCTTTAGGGTGAGGTTTGAGCGCTGCAGGGCTGGGATGGGGAGCACGGGACACCATGTGGGGCTGCCGGGCTGCAGCCTGGGTGGGGGGCTGTAAAACCCCAGGGCTGGGGGTGCAGGGGGGGGGGTGTCACCCTGAGCTGTGGGGCACCAACAGAGCGCAAAGCAGGTGGGCCTGGGGGTTTTCTTTCCACAGTGTGAACGCTGAGCTTTCCTCCGAGGCTCTGCTGCAGTTGCAGGGCAGCCCCAAGGGAGGCCGTGTGATGATGCTGTGCCACGCTGGGCACAGAGGGGCTGTGGGGCTGAGTGCCTGAGGTGGCTCCGTCCCTTTGAGCCTGGCCACAGCCCTCCCAGCCCGGCTGCAGGGCATTAACCTGCAGCTTTCTCTGCCCGCAGAGCTGCCCAGCAGTGGGGCAAAGATTGCAGGAGGACCAGGTGACCGCTGCCCGTGGCTGCGCTGCGTGCATGGGGGGCTGCAGGGCTCAGCGCTGTGCAGTGAGAGCCCACGTGTGGGGCAGGGCGCCGCTTGGCTGCTGGGTGCCCCTGCTCACAGCACGGCCCTGGGGCGCTCGCTGTGCCCTGCGTCACAGCACCGGCATCGTCCCCAGCAGAGCCCTGTGCTGAAGGCACTGCTGGTTTCACCTCAAAGCCCCGGCGGCCTGGAGCAGCAGCAGGGGCAGAGATGGGGGCAGTGGGGGCCGCAAGCAGTGCGCACGGGGCCCAAGGGAGCCCTGCCGGGCACGGGGCCGCCTGCTGGGGGTGGGATGGGGTTGAGGCTGGGACCCGTAGGGGCTGGAAGGTGCCCAGGGCTCGGGCTGCCGCCGGCTGCGTGCCCTGCTGTGCGTTGTGCCCTCATTGCTCACTACCAACTCGGAGCCCTGGTCGCTGTGAGCCTGCGGTGCCGCGCAGGCGGTTGTGTGAAAACCTTTCTGTGAGGTCTGGCTCTGTTTGTGCCCACGCGTTTCCTGCGTGCCGTAACCCCGCTGCCACCTCGGGGGGGAGGGAAGTCACCAAAGGCTTGGAAAGGGCTGAGGGTGCGGAGCTGCAGGTGGAGGCCTCCAAAAGCTGCCCCCCGTGGCCCTTTGGGGCGGTTCTGAGGGGCTCAGGGGGTTCCTTGGAGCTCCGTGCTTCGAGCGCTGCTCCTCCTCTTGGCCGTTTGATGCTGTAGGAGGAAGAAAACCTGCGTTCCCAAGTCAGGGACCTGGAGGAAAAGTTGGAGACGCTGAAGATCAAGCGCAATGAGGACAAAGCCAAGCTTAAAGAGCTGGAGAAGTACAAGATCCAGCTGGAGCAGGTGCAGGAGTGGAAGAGCAAGATGCAGGAGCAGCAGGCGGACCTGCAGAAACGGCTGAAGGAGGCCAGGAAGGTGAGCCTGCAGCTGGCGTGGGGCCCCCAGGGCTGGGGGGAAGCTTTGTGCCTCCTCTCCGCGTCTCCTTTCCTGTTGCTCTCAGGGGTTGCTGGCTCTAAACAGCACTGCGACCCCACACGGCTCTCGTGGCTTAAAGCAGCTGCGCCTCGTCGTGGCTCTGCTGTAATGCAGCACTGAGGGGCTTCTCCTTGCTGCACCGCCGGTGTCTGGGACGATCCGTGTGGGCTGAGGGAAGCGGTGCTGTGCTGGGGGCTGTTTGTGTTCCTGGGGGGGCTGGAGGGGATGGCAGCGTGTGTGAATGTAAAGGGGGTCAAACAGACACAGCTGGGCTCTCAGCACTGCTGAGACCTCGCAGCCCCCAGCCCCATCCCTGCCACAAGGATGCCCAGCAGTTCAGGCCGTCCGTGGCCTTGGATGGGGCAGGGATGGGGCAGCACAGCTCCGGGCAGCTGGAAGGGCTGTGAAGAGGGGAGGGGAAATGGGAGTGTGGGCAGAGAGCTGCCCCTGCCAGCCCTCGTCAGCCGTCATTCATTAGAACCACAGGGTCATTGTCCAGATGGGGGTGGGTGAGAGACCCCAAGGGCAGGGAATGGGGCTCTGCCCCCATCTTGGAGCCGTGGGTGCTGCTGTTCATTGCAGGGGGTGGGACGGGTGGCCTGCGAAGGCCGCTTCCAACTCAGACCGTTCTGTGGCATGATGGAATGTGGGGTTGGGGGGCGCCTTGAAGCCCACCCAGAGCCAACCCTGCAGCAGGGCCCCATCCAGCCTGGCCTTGGGCACCTCCAGGTGGGCCTCAAGCCTCCTTTGGGACAGCTGTGAGAGCTGGAGCTGCCCAGGGCTTCGTGGGAGGGCTCTCCATTGCTGGCCCTGCACTTGGGGGCACGGGGTTTTCACCCGTGGGTTTGACCCCAGGAAGCCAAAGATGCTCTGGAAGCCAAGGAGCGCTACATGGAGGAGATGGCCGACACCGCCGACGCCATCGAGATGGCAACCCTGGACAAGGAGATGGCAGAGGAGCGGGCAGAGTCCCTGCAGCAGGAGGTGGACTCCCTGAAGGAGAAGGTGGAATATCTCACCATGGACCTGGAGATCCTGAAGCACGAGATCGAAGAGAAAGGTGGGCGAGGAGCTGCGGAGGGTCGGCCTGGGCTGAGCCCTGGGGAAGGGTGGGCATGGATGGGTTCAGTGCCTGTCCCCGTGCTGGGGACGGCGCTCCCCCTGCAGAAGGGCCCTCTGTGGTTCCCTCTCTGTGACTCAGCTGCCCTCATCCTGAGCATCCTGGGGAGCCGGAGCTGCGGGCACCTGGTGAGTCCACGAGAGCAGAACCTTCCTTCCTGCTGCAGGCTCGGATGGAGCGGCGTCCAGCTACCAGGTCAAGCAGCTGGAGGAGCAAAACGCGAGGCTGAAGGAAGCTCTGGTGAGGTAGGAGAGCATCTGAGCTCCCCGGGAGGATGGGGGCCGTCTCTGTCGGTCGCTGTGCACCAATCAGGATCCCTCTGTGCATGAGTGGATGTGGCGGCTGCTGCCACCCTGGGGCTCTGAGCTCTGCTGCTCTGTGAGCCCCCAGCACAGAAGGCAGAATTCCTTCTCACTGCAGTGACATTCATTGCTGCCAGGTCCCCTGAGGGCAGCTCGTGTGCCTGGGGGAGGGGGCTGCCTGCACTGCACTGCCAGCCTGCATGGGGCTGGGAGCAGCGCGTGCTCGAGATACATGGCCTCTGTGTGCCTTAAAGAGCCCAGCAGTGACATTATGAGTGCTTTTGTGCCATATAGAGCCCAGCAGTGACATTATGAGTGCTTTTGTGCCATATAGAGCCCAGCAGTGACATTATGAGTGCTTTTGTGCCATACAGAGCCCAGCAGTGACATTATGAGTGCTTTTGTGCCATAGAGCCCAGCAGTGACATTATGAGTGCTTTTGTGCCATACAGAGCCCAGCAGTGACATTATGAGTGCTTTTGTGCCATAGAGCCCAGCAGTGACATTATGAGTGCTTTTGTGCCATACAGAGCCCAGCAGTGACATTATGAGTGCTTTTGTGCCATAGAGCCCAGCAGTGACATTATGAGTGCTTTTGTGCCATACAGAGCCCAGCAGTGACATTATGAGTGCTTTTGTGCCATAGAGCCCAGCAGTGACATTATGAGTGCTTTTGTGCCATATAGAGCCCAGCAGTGACATTATGAGTGCTTTTGTGCCTTACAGAGCCCAGCAGTGACATTATGAGTGCTTTTGTGCCATACAGAGCCCAGCAGTGACATTATGAGTGCTTTTGTGCCTTACAGAGCCCAGCAGTGACATTATGAGTGCTTTTGTGCCATATAGAGCCCAGCAGTGACATTATGAGTGCTTTTGTGCCATATAGAGCCCAGCAGTGACATTATGAGTGCTTTTGTGCCATAGAGCCCAGCAGTGACATTATGAGTGCTTTTGTGCCTTACAGAGCCCAGCAGTGACATTATGAGTGCTTTTGTGCCATACAGAGCCCAGCAGTGACATTATGAGTGCTTTTGTGCCATATAGAGCCCAGCAGTGACATTATGAGTGCTTTTGTGCCATATAGAGCCCAGCAGTGACATTATGAGTGCTTTTATGCCATATAGAGCCCAGCAGTGACATTATGAGTGCTTTTGTGCCATAGAGCCCAGCAGTGACATTATGAGTGCTTTTGTGCCATATAGAGCCCAGCAGTGACATTATGAGTGCTTTTGTGCCATAGAGCCCAGCAGTGACATTATGAGTGCTTTTGTGCCATACAGAGCCCAGCAGTGACATTATGAGTGCTTTTGTGCCATATAGAGCCCAGCAGTGACATTATGAGTGCTTTTGTGCCATATAGAGCCCAGCAGTGACATTATGAGTGCTTTTGTGCCATACAGAGCCCAGCAGTGACATTATGAGTGCTTTTGTGCCATAGAGCCCAGCAGTGACATTATGAGTGCTTTTGTGCCATATAGAGCCCAGCAGTGACATT